TAGACAGACCTTGAAATGCACACAAGACCCAACATAGGCGTCAACAAGCGAGCAGGCACCGCAGCAATCTTAAAAAAAGCAACAGCTTGGCTGCTTAGAGGCCTCAACCTCCTTTGGCTCCATGACCTGTGACACCCAACCAAAGCCTGCTTCAAAGACTCAGTTCAAACAGGAGAGGGGGGCAGGGTGACATACACAGAGAGAAGATATACAAAAGGGCATAAAAATGAGAAGCAACAAAATGTGGGATAAATATCTACGAATAGATTTACATTAAATATATTTAAGCTACCATTCAAGTATGAAGTTAAAGTATAATTTTCTGCAATATAAAATATTCCACTTCACTTCACAAAAAACCATTTAAACATCAAATGCACAGCTTAGAAAGCTCTGGAAAAGAAATTCTTCCCTTCTGAACAATCATTATTATTATTCACATAAATTCTACCAAACAAAGAAATTACGTTTGAAAAAGGCAGAAGTGGTTATGGGAAAAAAGACTGAAGACTTAATGTAAAGCAAAAGCACAATTTAGAAAGAGAGATACAGTAAAACAAAAGATATCAAGTGTGGTAGCCCAAAGGGTAACAAGGGATATCCGTAAACAGGAACTCAAACTATGTAGATTTACATTGGAATAATCTGAACAGATTACAAATCCAGGAAAGTGAGTTAACAGAGACAACACTGACAGCACTGGGATTCATCTACCTTTTATCTGCTCTACCTGAGATAAAATAACAATATGTTCATATAAAAAAAATTAATTACACAAAAAATAAATGCCAGCCTCATCGAAAGACTTTTGTTACATTTCGACACACAACAGCATATGAGCTCTTACAACACAGTCACAACTTCCAGCAACAAGATGACATCTCAGTAGCTTGCAGACTATACAAGCAGTAACATGTAAAAATATGCAGCCTAAGATGCTTCAAGTCAGACCCACAACCAAAACGAACAACAAGCTCTGAATGCAGACAAGAAACAATTATAAAATCAGAGAAACATGCGATGCTTCCCATTTACACATAGATGGAAACACTATAAGTATGTACTGCACATTTTTATTTCCTACAAAAGACTGCTTATCAGGGATACAATTGATAAAATTATACTTTGATTTCCATATATGCACGCATATTTAAACTTAACAGTATTGCATCAAGACTTAGAGCAACAAGGGACCAACAGAAAAACACGCAGAGCAAATCTGCAGAATCAGTGTAGATACTTTTTCAGTGCTAAGTTTAAAGCAACACGGCAAGCATTTTTCATCTGTATTGAATTAAATCCTTAATGAACTGTCACTCAAAGGTCCTCTAGGGATATTAGGAATGAAATATTGCTCTGCAACATAAGGCTAATATATTGCTGTTCCTATTGGAATTGGTTTAATTCTATGGTGAGTAATATATTTGTTAGTATATATTATACTATGGTGAGTAATGTATAATATAAATTGAGCAGAAACAGAAACAGGAATAGCCCTGTTTTCCAATCCAGTGGATATGAATGAATTGTCATTTTTGTAATGTTAACTGATCAGGAATTGTTTTGAAAGGCTAAGGAGAAATTTGAAACGTCTAATAAATACATCTCACACATCTATTTACAAGCACAAAATTTGTAAAAAAAAAAAAGTATTTGAGGGACTGAAAGATGTTAAGAAGAAAAACATAATTACTGCATAAAGTGTTATTTATGTATCTTATGTTTTACGACTGCACACATTATAACATAACTTCTAAAATCAACTTGAACTTTTATTTTTACATCTTCCTCAACCCTAAACAGTCACATCTGGATAATAGCATGTGAATATTCAAGTCAAATGGATTTAATAGAGGAAAACAATTTATTTAAAAGGTGAAAAACATCTGCAACAAAAGTACTAGCCAGCACCGTTCTCAGAAGGGTGCTCAAAATAGCAAAGAAAAAAATTAAAAACAGTTGACAGTTTGTAGACCAAGAGACACCCTCGCACTATTGTACACGTGGCCATTCTGTACACACACACACACACACACACACACACACACACACACACACACCACACACACACACACACGCGCACCCCCTCACCCCCCCCCCACACACACGCAAAAAAAACAGTCAAAGTCCTGTTAACGCACTCAATAACATAAAAAACAGCTACAGGGAAGAGTTCAGCACTTTTCTAAATATTTTTAAATTAGTAATGGATAAACACTTAACACCAAAGTCATGGGAATAATCATGATAATGGCAAGCAGTAAGGTTTACTTTCATTTGACATAATATACTAAAATATGTAAAGCTGTTTTTTTTAATTAACTAAGGCTTATGTGTAGTTTAATGAATCTGTTTCTAAAGGGTGGGCCATTAGTTTCCATACATAGGAGAATGTAAAATGTATATTTCTTTTATATTTGAGATACCTAAGAAGATGCGTTTGACAAAAGAACAAAGAATTGTTCTGGATCGGGAAGCAGTTGCACGGTTGGACGAAACTTTAATAGAAAACATGGACGAGCATCACACACAGCAAGTTTCAGAAAACTGTCATGACATGCAGCGATTACAGAGTCCCACAAAAATAAAAACGGTTGTCCATTATAAAATGTTTATTTTTTAATTTTATGTTCAATGTTTCAATTTCAAATTCAGTTTGCTAGTCTACTAGACATAAAGATTTCTCACTCTTCTGTTTCTATTCTCACTTTGAGATGAATTTTGTGTCTTTCAAAACATTTATGACATGTGATATTATTTATTGTGGCATTTAACATCAACTACCAATCCACTAGTTCAAACAATTGCCATTTTGGTCAATTACAGTTATACAGGTATGCAAAGCTTTTAAAAGATTAGTATTAACACTTTTGCAAGTGTTTGCTTTGAGAGGCCAGAGTGTGCAGGTGTGTTTGATGTTTTCTCAGGTTGTATGGAGAGTCAGCTGGCAGAAGGGAAGCTTAAACGCATATGTATCACTTGCAAGAGCTGAACTAATCTGTCTAAAAATATTTCTGACTATAAATGATCTGGCCAGTGCCTTACACCCCTTTTTATTAAGTGTGGTTTCTGCAAGTTAAATAATCATTTTCATAACTTCGATATAACTAGCATGATAGCATTAGAGAACAAAATATGACAGTCAGTTTCAGTTCCAACTAAATATTGAAACCTTCCTTTAAGTAAAGTTTCGACAAATATTAATTTTCCCATGATTAGGGAGGTGGTAATGTATCAGGACTCCAGAATGTTTTGAAGAGTCTTGAAATACAATAATCAGAATCCAGTTTGTGTATACAAACTAGGACTTCGACTTCAGCTCCACATTGCTCTCAATGAAGACATCATACATACAAAAATATAATAAAACAGGTCAGGAACAAATGGTTTCTGACTGTAAATGTTCATATAAACGTTGCAATGTTGAATGTCTGGAAATGTATACCTTTTGAAAGGGGATTATTTACAATATTCTCGAGATTTTTTAACTTGAAAACTTTCCATGAAATTTAAGAGGAATTTAAAGGAAACTTGAATGCTAGCCCTTAACTACTGTCTTCCATTCATCTGAAATTGTGTCACAGGGTCAAAGGTCCAGGAGGAAATCCTAGACATATTTTCCCCATTGAAATCCTCCAGCAAATTCTAGAGATTCCCAAGGGGTTTAGAGGCCAAACAGGATTTACACTCCCTCCAGCAAGTTCTGGTTCCCCAAGGTCTTCTACTGGGAAAACCTGAAAATTCTGATCATATGCCAAATCTACCTTAACTAACTCCTGTTGATGTTCATATACATGCTTTCGATGCACAATTATTGAACAGTAAGAATCTCATCCCAAGTTGGTATCATAACTGAAATGTATTACCAAGTACAAAAATTGTTTTTCAAAACCTAAAGTGAAGTTAGAGCAAAGATTTTTTGAAATTGTACCATCCACACATTTAAAATCAATGTAGATCTCCAACTTCATTTTGATTGAGTCTCAACCCTTTTTAGAGCACCATGTGTCTTTTTCTATCGAGTGCATGAAAGATTTTTTTTTGCATTATGAGGCTTCTGCCATGCACATAATTGACAAGCATGCATCAAAGGGACACAGTATGAAATAACACAGCATGCTGTTACACCTGTGATCAGGAAGTTAGACACACCATATTAGTCTGACAGTGAAGCTGAGTCCTTTGTTCATCTATCACTTACTTGCAAACAAGGCTGTAGAGATTCACCCAGCATTAATCAAGCAACATCTAGTCTTCAACTCGGATGCAAAAAGACGCTTATGAAGCCTGAAAAATTAATCTCTCTATTTTTTTAATGTTTCACTTCGCAGCTCATCTAGTTATCAGATGGTACTTTCAGGGCTGAAAGTGAGGTGTGCCTACCAGACACGTCTCACTGAGCTGCATGCTCTCAGTTTTCTCACATTTCTCATTTCCTTTGTGTTTAAGCTCCACTATGATGCATTTTCACAAACGTACTTACAATACACCTTGATGATAAGACACTTCCACTTAGACAGTTTCATGGGATTATGAAATCTTTACAATAAAAAATTACTCAACAGAGCCACTTTAAAGAGTAATGTCTCTTTCACTGAACATTCAACATTTTTTCTCCAGCCACCTTCTAATCTGGCAACACTTCAGCTAGTTTTCCAACCATGTCTGACCTCTAAAGGGAAAAAAGGTCTTGAAGTTCAACTTTGGCATTCCTAAAATGTGACACAATGGGGATACATCAGAAGAATGTGTGTCTAGCTATGTCTGCCCATTGGGAGGTGATAAGCGCCAGATGCCCTGCACCCCAGGAGTGATAGGACTTCTCTTGCTAAAGAATGTTACGCACTGAAGCAAAAACTGGAAAACACACTAAACTGATTGCATTTTGAAAAATCAAAACTTCTTGAAGCTCATAAATGCAAATTCCAGCCACTCTACAGCACACAGCTAAAGCAAAGGTAGGGAAATGAAGTTATCTAGAGTAATAATTCAATTCATACCTTGTGAAGCCGACAGAAAAATTCCCCAAAGCTGCAGCAGACTGAAGACCATCACTGGTGCTCTGAATCCCAGAGGCTTCTCCATACCTCTTTCCGCTTATCCAGCTCTCCATGACTCCTGGCAAGTTTGAGTATGTGCCAAAAGGCTTCTGGTCTTGCAAGCCTGCTGTCCCAGGATTGCCTCTATAGTGGTACCCAGTTCCCGTGGCAAGACCCATGGCAGACGATATGGTTCCCACCCCATGCAGAGGGCTCATACCACTCTGCAGACATTGGGACTGGCAGGAACTAGCACCGTCCTGCTTCTCCTGTTTGACCACACCAGGGGTACGGATGTGGATGAAGTCGGGATCCTTCTCCTCCTTGATGACAACACTGGAAAGCATTCCGGGTGGCTGCTGCTGTTGAAGCTTATGTTGCTTTACCAGCTGCTGCTGCTCTGTGCCATTCAAACCAATACTGTGAGCCCCATTACCTAACAGGGACTTTTCACCAACGCTGACGCTCTCCTGGAGGATGGTATCCAAATGTGCCACCTCTGAATCCAACTCAAAAGCACTGATTTCTGGCAGGGAGTTCGGAAGGTCCAGGTCTTGCCAGATATCTGCATCATCAATTAGCTGAGCAGTGCTCCCATCCAGACTGCAAGAACCAACACCTGCTTGTCCACCATAAGTTTCTAATTCCTTGTCCAGAGAGAAAATCCCTTCCTGCTTAATTTGCTGAGGGAACAGGTCAGGCAAAGGGAGTTTCCCCAGGACTGAGTTTTCTGACGTGTTAATGATAGAAGTGGACGTCTGGTCGAGATCAGAAGTATTCTGGTTCAACAAAGGCAAACTGTCCCCATAGTTGAATATATTCTGTTCTTGTTTGTGCATTCTGCTCATTTTATCCTCCTTATTTGACTCAAGGCAGCCTCCAAGTTCCCCCTGGTCTTTGGTTCCCCCTTGTCCATTCGGTGCCACTTTGCTCTGTTTCACAGACCCGGGACTGGGCAGATGCATTGTGGGTTGAAGCAGTAAACCAGATGTGCTGACTGAATCTCTGCCTACTTCAGGTCTGATCCCTGCAAATGTAAGTTTGTCGTTCCGATTACCGTTGTGCTTTGGTCCACCCTGATCCATCTTGTCATTCTGCAAACACAATTATCAATAAACAGATGAGTCATAAGGAAATAAACATAGATGTGATATTAATGAATGCAATGACATCTGCAGTAGAAAACCTTACTAGAATATTGATCATTTACAGCTACAGGTGTCAACAAAGTTCAAAAGTGTCACATTACAGTACATACTGTATAGTGCAAACTACAGTTTGCACTATTTCATAGTTTGCACTATTATATAGTGCAAACTATTTAATAGTTTGCACCATGTGTCTGCAAACACATGGTGCAAACTACTCTACTGTATGGGTATTCTTTTATCCATTTTACCTTGAAAACCACAGAAATACTATAGCACTGTCACTACTTCAACAATAGAACATGACAGCTAAGAATAGAAAATGTGTCCACAAACTTTTACGGAGCAGAAATTACTAAAATGTGCATTTCATATGTTTGAATAGTGTCCTCTTCTCTGGCTTAAGAGTTAAGACATGCCCAGGCACAAACTTGCTTTTCGAGTGAAACCGCTGACGGTCCCGCTTACAGAGAGCGTGTGTGCAACAGCATGCATCTGTTGGAAGAGATTAACCCACTGAGGGGCCGCTGGGCATTTGCTGAAGGCCTTAGCGAGCATCTAGCTCTGTTGGCAAACACAGGCAGTCGAGTACAAACTGTTTAAGGTGGCGAGTCAAGAAGCAGAAATAGCACAAGGTAAAGGCAAACATTTCTCATTCAATACCATAATAAATTTATCTGGACATTTTATGTCCTGAAAATCAGTCTTGCAACCATCCATATAAATGTACTTGTTAACCTATACTTGTTTAACGCCTATGCGTTTTGTGCACATTTTGAATGTCTCTCTCCTTACCTCTCTGATTCATGACAACTGCACATGAAAGTGTCTGACATTCAGTTTCAATACTTTTGTTGAATACTGCAATGGCACTATCAATTGTAATTAAGACACAATTCCATCACTCTTTTCTCATTTTCATGACATCCTCACAACTCTTTGTTAACTTAACCATTTAGGAGCATTATAGGGAGTGAAAGTCCACCAAAGTGGTCAAATATATTATTATTTGCATGTCAGGTAAAGTATTTTCCCCAAAGAACATCCAGATAGACATTTGCTATTACTATATTGCACACATTAATTTTTTAAATTGATAGATTGTGCAGTTCTAATAACTACAGTACCAGTAAGTTTAGAACAGATCAGCATGTCTGAATTGATTGGAGTCTGATTGGTTTTGTTTACCCCAATCCAGACAGTTCAGTTCACAGCATGAAGCTATGCTGAGCCAAGCACCAAGTGCTGAGCTAAAAACACAAATAAATCATCAGTTATCCAACTTAAATTAAAAAACAACTTTTTCCAGATGGAAATTATTGCTTTATTGCTTTGGGAGACAATGAAAGTAGCTCTTCAATGTAGTTTTTTCTTTGGGCTTTTTTCAAGGAAAAAATAGAAAGGTTGGAATTTGAGGTAAATAAAGGCTCACAAAAAACTATATTTTATACAGGCTAAAAATATATCAATTTAAAAAACATCTTCTGAAAAAAAAGTATATTAGGAATATCAGGTTTAACAAATAAGTAAATAAAATCCAAAAATTGGTTTGAAAGAACTAACAAAAAGGGATATAGTGAGAATAAAATTTGAAAAATAGATTTTATATAAAGCAATACACATAAGTAAACATGGAGATGGCGCTTTAGGAAAATAAAAGTTAGTAAATTTAAAGTTCATAAATTTAAATCAAAAATAAAATACAGTTTTAAAAACAGTATTTAACGGGGTGGCAACGGCTCACGGAAAACCTGCTTTAAAAAGTTCGAGGTTTCCTGACTTCCCATACTGTACGTTTCCACAGAGCGTTTTATGATCAGATCAACCTGTTGGCTGCGAAGGAAACTGCACTCGATCATTTGCCTGAAGAAGGAGCAAAACAAACGCTTAAAACTGTTGTTATCATGTTTATTGGGAACTCCATATTAAGACCGAGTTAGTTCGCTTTAGCAGCGTGAGGCTCCCCCCCCCCGCCTCTCCGTTTCTAACTGTGCCACTCGGTGCTCGGCTGTCAGCGCGCTTGTCACGCACCACCGTGGACGGTCCTCGTCGGCCTACTCGACGGGAACCACAAGGTTTTTACCGCTGCAACAAAAACAAAAACAAAAACAAAACAAGAAAGAAAAAAAAGTAGTTGCACCTGAAAGTAGTCCTTACCTTAAGTGAGAGAAAACTCCCTCGATTAGGTCATCTCCTGTCAGAACAAGTTGTTTCAGAAATAAACACATATGAGAAATAACGCAGTGTCCACCGGATCAAGCTGTGGAATAAGCCCAACTTCTTACTGCGCTGATGTTTCCTGCTGAAATAGCAGAAGAGCGAGTAGCGACGTCTCTGTCCGAGTGACAGGAAAACATTCTCCGCGATATTTCTTTCTCAAGACCCAACACCGTCGCTGTGCGCCGATTCTCGGATCCGTCTGCAACTTTTAATGCACCTCGTCAGCAGCAGGGGGACGCAGAGAGGAGAAAGAGAAATAAAAGTCTGTCGCTCCGGATCTTCAGAGTTAATCCATAAAGAATCGACCAAATGTGCAGTGCAATGCTCAGCCCTCTGCGCCGAGAAAAAGCAGTGAGTACATTAAAGTTATATAATAGAGCCGCGGTGCTGCGGCCCACTCAGCGGCAAACTCAGACAGGGCGATCTGTTAGAGAAGCGGAGACAAATCCACCTAAAACGTTAGCCGCGTTTCCGTTTTGGTGTTTCAAAATAAAGGGCGGGCGAGACCGTCCGCTTTACACTGTCTCTTAAGCACTTTATCCACACTTGTAAAATGTATCGTTATTCCCAGCTGTCACACATTTAGAGCAGATGTCACAGCTGTCTTCACGTGTTTATGTTTGTCCTCTCCAGGCACGTCGCGGTTCTTTTACTCTGAAGAGAAAGCGCGCAGTCTGGACTCCTCTGCAAAGCCTGTTGGGGGCAGCTTGACCTCTCTGTGAGTTTGGCACTTGGCGGTTAACGCCCCTTTTACCCACTGAAACTCCGTCTGCTGCGGAATCTGTCAGTGTCACCTCTAACCTGCAAGCATTTAATCTAGGAAGCCGAACCCATGTTCGGTGCTCCTCTGGTCGAACCGAGCGTCGTTTCTGGGGTCTGATTAGGGTCAGGGTATCAACTGAGGCGGGGGGATTCAGTTGCCTTTGGATGAGGTCATATAGATACTGTATTTCCTGTTTCTCAATGTTGCCTTTCTCAGGCATATAAAGAAAGCTCAAGTCAGGGAGAAAGTCTAAAATATCAAACTCTGTGATTTCACTTCCGATGCGAGACGTGAAATATTTGTTATAATTGTGTTATAAGTAATTTTTTGGAGATTTCCTGCAGCAACAATGTGACAAATATGTTCATGAAAATGCTAAATACAGTTAACCCGTTGCCATTTCTGCACTTGGCGGTGATTTACACAGGAAGGATCTTTGTTCACCCAGATAAAGCTGGAGGCTGTGCAGCAGCCTTCATATTCCTGTGTGGAATGGCAGCAGAAACCAGAACTTGTTAGATATTTTCAGTCAAAATAGCTGTCTGATTTAAAAGTAAAATGATGTAAAACAAAATAGCCTATACAAGTGATTTAAGTGAACACTAGGCAGCTCTTCTGACTCTGATACATATCCTGTTCTCAGTACATGTTTCAAATAGGAAGATCAACTCTTCGCTTCCCATGTAACCAACAATTGTTGTGTAACTACACAATGCAAACATGACAATGCTGTGGTCTCAAACTTCATTCCTCAGGGGCCAGTGCTTTGCAGCCTGTAGATGAATTTCAGACCCAACTTACCCGAATCATATTAATGACCTCAACATGCAGCCAAAATTCAACAGAAACTTGCTAATCGCCAAATTACTTGTTTCAGGTGTGTTGAGGCTGATACACATCCAAAGGTTTCAGCAACTGAACTGAAGTTAGAGACCCCATGGTTCAAAGATTGATATTTAAAGTCACTTTTGCATAATTGACAGTGAAGTTGTTTAAGATTGCATTTGAAAATGGCAGAAGTCCACTTTGGTCTTTGCCTGTCTCAGACTAGCTCCTGCTTTATGGCATAACTAATCTGGATTTATGCAAAATTATGATACCAATAAAGCAATCAACTACAGTAAGATATCAGCTGCTTATCCACCTATCACTTTTTGACAAACATTTTTGAAGCTTCATCATCTCTTCTGCATTTCTATCTGATTGAATGGTAGTGTTTACAAGAAACTTTGAACCCTCTGGACTGAAATCCTTGCACCAGATGACATTTCAGTTTGTGCTTAAAGTTGTGAATTAGTTATTACATACTTACTTTCCTGTAATGTAGTGAAGGTTATTTTTTATTTATTTTTTTTGCTGGAGTAGAGAGTGCAGGGTCAAAGGGTTGGATATCAGCAAGCTCCATTCTGGAAACCTGAAGCCCCTTCTCTACAGCTATGCAGGGAAACTCCCTACAAAGATAATCAGCTGATATATATTGTTTCTTACTGAGGGCATCTTCTTTGAAAACATATAAGTTACTTGGCTAAGACAGGAAAGGGAGCCACTCCACAATATTGGTAATATATACTAATCCACATTAAGTTTCTTATTTTCCAATCAGAGGTATTGTATTGCTGGCATTGTTGTGAAAACCGTTTTTATGAAGGTATCAGTGAGTTTCAATTTGTCTAATATAGAATGGTTTGCAAAATTATTCATACCTTTAAACATTTTGAAATTCTGTGAAATTACAACCACAAATTGTGATAGTTTAACACAAAGTAAAACACAACTGTGAAATGGGATGAAAATATATATGGTTTTCTTGATTATTTATGGAAAAAAAAGTGAAACATGTGATGTTCCTGTGAATTTATGCTCCTCTATCTCTAAATAAAATCCATTGCCTCAAGTAACTGGCCATTTATTCATTTATTTATATTGTGCTAATTCACAGCAAAAGTCATCTCAAGGTACTTTACAAAAACATTTAATTTGTATACAGAAATACAGATACAAAGTCGATGACATGCATCAACGCAGTCTAGTTCAATTTATTTTTTAAATTGGTAAAACTGTCCATCTAAGGAAACTCAGTTCTGATGTTGGCAGTGGACAGTTTTTGAGTCATTCATTTTACTGCAGTCCTTCACATTGAGATGCTTTTAGTGAGAGTGGAAAGGAAATCTCCCCTGTAATGGAGAGAAGTAAAGATGGATCAGTGTCTGAAAAAACAGTATCAGAAAACAGAAGCCTTCAGAAGTCACCTACTCTAGTTCGGAAAAACTTGTATGGTTAAAAGAACTAACATTCATATCACCCTGAACACATTGTTACAAAGAAACATGGTGGTGGCAGAATCATGCTGTGGGATTGTTTTCTTCAGCAAAAACTGAGAATCAGGTTGAAGTTGATGAGATGTTGAATGACGTCATGTAGAGACTGATACTATAGCAAAAGTTGGAGTGTGAGAAGAGTTGAGACCAATGAAATGGTTTAGATGAGGGGTGTGAAACTCAGTTTCATTTTAGGCCAAATAAATGTTAATAATGTCCTCAAAAGGCCAGTAGTGACAGAATACATTGATAAAACCTATTAACACATCATCAAAATAAGAATAATTAGCCGTCTGCATTTGATAAGTACTTGTTAAAATTAATTATTACTGAAGATCTTTTCACATTGATGTCACTTGGCAGTATTCAGATTAAAACCGCTTTGATTTGATTGATTAAAGATTCTTTAAGCATATTGAAGGTTCTAATTAGGTGTCCCATTAGAGTCTAGATGGCCACATATAAAGTTATGGTGGGCCGGATATGGCCGCCAGGCCTTGAGTTTCACACATGTGGTTTAGATCAAAGCATATTTATTGGCTAGTTAAAAACCGAACTTAAATCCTTTGAAGAATTTGTGGAAAGGCTTAATAATCACTTAATGCTTTCCACCCGATTTGACTGAACTTGTATTTAATAAGGAAAATTGTGTAAAGTTGGTAGACGATAGATTGGACTTGCAGTTGTTATTGTAGCGGAGAGTGGTTCTATATCTTGACTCAGTCGGACGCTGAAAGGATATGCAAACTTTTCAGATTTCAGAAAAAAAAAAAAAAAACTAGGTGTTGTTTATTCCTCAACTTGGAATTTTGCACTACTATGTGTTGGGGTTATTAAATGTGATTCCACCAAAATACATTAGAGTTAGTGATTTTACAATGACAAAAGTTGAGAAAATGCAATACTATTGCTAAGGACTGTATATGTAACTGAAAAATAATTTTACCATCTACTTTCCTTTTAACTTGATGAAAATTTCAAGTTTTAATGAATCATCCACAACTTGTATCCCTGACAAAAATTTCACTTCTCTTAGTCATTCTGTAGAAGACCAATCCATGGAAATATGTAAATTATATCTGCTCAGTTTGAAGAAGTGATTGGAGGGAAAGTGAATAGTCCAGTCTGTGCAGACAACCAAAAATAAACGGATGAGTAGACTGGAACCAACAGCCAGGAGCAGAAAGGTAAAGAAGCAGGCAGGAGGAGGGGGTGACAGAGGTCTGCAGGTATGGTCCTCCATCCAAGTCATCTGATTAGAAGGAACAAAATGTGTCCTGGGCATGCAGATGTCTCATTAAATGCCAATGGAGCTGGAGAGAGAGAGGAGCTCCCAAGGGCTTGAGAAAACCATGCTGTTCTCAAAACATCACAGAGAACACTGTGAGTTTTTAATGCCCGGTAACAATGGGCGATCCTATTTACCAATAAATAATGAAAACACTGAACACGCCGTGCTCCATGTGCATGTGTGTGCAACTGTAAATTCGGGGGGAATTATGCTGCTTTGGTTTTATAACACAGCTTGCTTCTGAATGCTCAGCAGAACTCAATAGGTTGAAGACAGGCTGTCTTCATAGGAGTGGTAACCAAATCAATGTTGAAACTTTGAACATTTGGTCTCAAATGTTTTTCTTTTAAGAAAAGTACATAACAAAAGTCTCAACACATAACAAAAGTTTATGGTTGTGGGGCTGGAGGTCAGTGGCATTGTTTGGTTTGGTTTGACAATGTTAATCACAAAATAATTCTAAAAGAGAAGAAGCAATGAGTTGTTGAAAAAGGTGCAAGACTTTGAAACAGCCCAAACTGAAAGCAGACTTGGAGCCTTGTTGATACTTGTGTGTATTTTCCCCAAGGTTAGTGAATATTGCATGTGAGTGAGGGAGAGTCTAAAACATCCACTGAAGTGGCAAAACAATGTCACTTACATGTTCCCAGAACAGCTGGTTGTGTTTGTGGAAGTGCCACAAGGAGCTGGTGATGCTTCAATGCAGTAACTAGATAATTATGGAAGAGGTGGATAGGAGCACATCTGTAACTCGAGCCTCAGACACCTGACACACAGTTGTCTGTAATTAGGCACAAACAGGAAGGAGAAGAAAAAGCAAGACTTGCTACAAAGCAGTATCCTTCCCAGCACAACCCCATCTTCTCTGGTGAGCATCAGGTTGTAGAAATCTTGAATCTGCTTGAAAGTTGTGATGTATTTTCTGTTGACTCAAAGGACTAAAAGCTAGATAGACGATCATATTTGGGTGGAAAAGAGAGCTGGCATAAATAATTAGAGTGGGAATGTGTCTATTGAATGAGATTCAATGAATATTAGGAATTATGGTTGAACTTTGACTGAGTTTCAAAATGTTATATCAAAGAAGTGACACTTTTGGAGACAAGAATGAAACTACTTGGATAAATCAGAATACCCACGTTTTTTTAAAAAGAAGTAACCAAATATTTTTACAGACATTTTGAGAATTTGGCTCATACCACAGGGAAGAAAGAAATGAAAAAACAAACAAAAATAAAACTTGGAGACATTCTTATATAAATCTCAATCTGGGTTTGGGTATGTAACTGTTTTCAGAGCTGATATTTGAGCCTGACCAAAGTGACCTGGACCTTCTTCTGAATGTG